CGTTGTCGTTCTGGGTTCACCCCCAGCGCTCCATGTCGACGGTTCATTCTCCCCCTTCCTTTGTCTCTTCTTCCTCATCCATATGGGCTTCGCCCTCTGCCGCCGGTCCCCTCTCCATCAGGACGGGACATACCACAGTTACATTGGAATTCTTTGGCGCCGTCTTGAAGGCATTTGTGAACGTCCTGCGAGGAGGGCTCGCAATCAGCAAACCATATTGGCATGGTGGAGCTGTTGCTAAACACCTTGTTGCCTGCTTAGACCTTTTCCCTCGTATTGTATCAGAGACCCTCTTGGAACGACTAAGGGCGTTTGGTGCCATCCGGAGAAAAATCGTGTGGTCGGGACTGTCTCGGGTTCCTGGCAGTAATCGCTACTTTCCATGATTTGCGGCTGCGGGTCCAGCGAAGAATTGTTAGGAAACGGCGGGAGGGGGGCGAAAAGTGTCCCCCGAACGCTTGTCCCATTACAGCAAACGTCAGTCTGTCTCCTTCGGAAAGGGGAGTGGCCGTTCTGGGGCGCCCCAGTGAGTTGGACTACTAGCCTCGGGAGCGCGGAGCTGCAGTAGGCTGTGGCCTCGAGGGCGCGAATCTGTCGCAACGTGCGAAGCCTCGGGATGAGGAGGAGGAGGAGGAGGAGGAGGAGTAGGAGGAGGAGGAGGAAGAGGAGGAGGAGGAGGAGGAGGAGGAGGAGGAGGAGGAGGGAGGAGGAGGAGGAGGAGGAGGAGGAGGAGGAGGAGGAGGAGGAGGAGGAGGAGGAGGAGGAGGAGGAGGAGGAGGAGGAGGAGGAGGAGGAGGAGGAGGAGGAGGAGGAGGAGGAGGAGGAGGAGGAGGAGGAGGAGGAGGAGGAGGAGGAGGAGGAGGAGGAGGAGGAGGAGGAGGAGGAGGAGGAGGAGGAGGAGGAGGAGGAGGAGGAGGAGGAGGAGAGGAGGAGGAGGAGGAGGAGGAGGAGGAGGAGGAGGGAGGAGGAGGAAGGATCGCGAGCCTGCCGCAGCGGACGGGGCGCGCGGCCTCGGGAGCGCCGTCGTGGTGCGGTGGCGGCGGGCTGCGGCCACGGACGGCGCGGCGCCGCTGCAGTCTCGAGCGGCCCGTCGCCTCGCGGGGGCGCGAGCCCTGGAGCACTTCTCTGGCGCTCGGGGCGCGGGCCTCGGGGGCGCCAGTTGGGGAGCCCTTCGGCGAGGACGGTGGCCTCGGGAGGGCGAGCGGCTCGTCGTGGAGCGGGGATCTCGGCCTCGGGGGCGCGAAGCCGGAGGAGCCTTGCACGGGGAGATGTGGCCTCGGGCGCGCCACCTCTCGCGCAGTTCACGAAAGAACGCTCCTTCGGGGGCGCGGGTCTGGTGTCAGTGAATGGGAGTCTTGGCATCGGGGGCGCGAAGGTGATCCAATTTACAACAGGGATAGTGGTCTTGGGGGCGCCATTTCGGTTCAATGCGTTGGCGGTCGTCGCTTCTGGGCCGCGAACCTGGAGTAATTTGCGAGGGGTCGTGGTGTCGGGGATGCGTAGCCATAATGACTTCTGAAAGACCGTGGCCTCGGGAGCGCGGATCCGGTGCAAATGGGTCCGAGTCTTGACATCGTGTGCGCGAAGCTGGTGTAATTCAAAAAGATCGTAGCATCGGCGGCGCAAATTGTTGTTGAATGTTTTGATCATCGCGGTTTCGAGGGCGCGAGCCCGCCGCAACCTCGGCGAAAACTGATCACTTCCGCCCCTGTAATTGACCTGTCCCCTGAATTTCGAAATGTGGCTCTCGCCTCAGCGCCGCGAGCATTCATTTTAGAATCTTGCAACTGCTTCCCGGATGGAGGGCGGGTCCTTTTCAGAATGTGGTTCTCGCTTGACCGTCGCGCGCATTCTTCTTTGAAGTTCGCCAGAGTTTCACGGATGGAGGGCGGGTCCTTTCCAGAGTGTGATTATCGCCTTGGCGCCGCGCTCATTCGTTTCAGGAATTGGCAAGAGTTTCAAGAATTGAGGTCACCTTAGCCCCGCGCACATTATCTTCAAAAGTTTGAAAGACGTTCACGGATGGTGGGGGGATTCATTTCAAAACGTGGTTCTCTTATCAGTGCCGCACACATTCATTCTGAAAAGTTGCGGCCAGTTCACGGATGGAGGGCTGGTCTTTCTTCACAAGTTGGTTCTCGCTTTAGCGTCGCACATATTCGTTTTGAATGTTTGCAGCAGTTTCACGAATTGAGGGCGGGTCCTCGTCAAAATGCGGTTCTCGCTTTAGCGTCCCCCGCATTCGTCCTAAAAGTTGGCAAGCGTTTCGCTTATGCAGGGCCGGTCCGTTTGAGAATGTGTGTTCTCGCCTTAGCGTCGCGCTCATTCGTCTTAAATGTTCGGAGAGTTTCATGTTTCGAGGGCAGGCCCTTTTTTAACTGTGCTTCTCGTTTTAGCGTTGGGTACGTTCGTTTTCAACGTTTGCAACAGTTTCTCGGATGGAGGGCAAGTCCTTTTCAGAATGTCGTTTTCGCCTCGGCGCCGCGCACATTCGGTTTAAAAGCGTGCAACAGTTTCATGGATGGAGGGCGGTTCCTCAGATCTCTGATTGCCTCAACGTGAAAGAATGTCATGTGCTCGTGCGCGCGCGTGCGCGCGTTATCCCGGGCGCCATAGGCAAGCGAACGTAACATTACAATCTTAATTCCAGAGACAGAATGAAGAACATCCATTGTTTCACTCGTATCCTGAGAGCACCAACATGAAACAATGCATTGTGACACCATGCGCGTTCCTTATGGCCCGCGCCCACTTACCCGCGAGTGCGGGCGTGTTCCCGAGGGCGCAATACAACAGATGTTACATAATGACAATATTGACACCACACAGTGGTTTAACGAATTTGTGCACTGACGCTGAGGGCCTTAACGTGTAATCCATACACGTTCGTCGTTGCCCTTGCGTAATTCGCATGCCCAAAATACGAAAACGAATCCACACTGACCGTCCTAATCTCGAAAACTGAATGCGGAAACCCAGTTGATTCATTGGTATTCTGAGTTCCTCGACTGTATTGTAACGCCATGCGCTGTCTTTGTTGCTCGCGCGCGCGTGTTCCCGTGCGCGGAATGCTGAAAACGAAGGAAGGATTGCCAGCTTTCACTCGGAAACTGAATGGGGAAACTCAATCATTTCACTCGAATCCCAAGGGCTTCAACGCGAATGGTACCGATTATGGCACATTGCACGTTCTTCATTGCCCGCGCGCGCGAAGCTGCCCAGGTGCTTGATTGCTTGTACGACAAGATGAACCTTTACGCCGAGCAGCCCCAAAAGAGGAGCAAGTTCAACCCCGCCGAGAGACCTTTAGGGGGATTCAAGGATGCCCTGCACCTCTACGTTACTGGCGACTCCAGGGCGGCAACGGAAGACAGGCAGATCAGCTGATGTTGCCCTTTTCGGTGCTTCTCTGCGACATGTCCTCCGCCACCGCGTCTGGCGTCGTGGCGCGACTGGCGTGTTGCGCGGGCTACTTCCACTCTCCCTCGGGCCTCTTCCGCTCTTCTCCCTCTCTCCGATGATCTCTTTTTTTTGCCCTCTCTCTCTCTCTGTCTCCCTCCCTCCCTCCCTCCCTCACCCCCTCTTGCGGGGGGAGCTGCGAGGACGCGCACTCCCCCCCCCGCAACCGCCCCCCCCGCCCAGCAGACCGGAGCCGCGCTCCACCAGCGCGGCATACTGAGAGACGTGCCTATGCTGGGGCTTTTTGAGGCTCGGGGGCGACGCCGAGGTGGTGTGGTGTGTATTTTTTGTGGTTTCGGTTCCCCGTGGCAGCCACGAAACACATGTGTGCGCACCAGGACCCGTGTGCGCCAGGCTCCCCGCTCTCCCGTGCACCACTTCTGGTGCAGGGCGGGAGAAAGCGTCGGCGAACGTATAGAGAGTCCGATGCCCTACGAGTGCCCTCCCCCCGCGCGCGCGCCACTCTTCGAGCGCACCGCCCGCGCTCCGCGTCAGGAGCAGCAGGCGCCCCCTGCCGATTCCGCTCCCGCGCGCACGGAGAGGCGCGTGCGCCGCCGCCGCCCTCGCCGGAGGTGGCGGGCACGCCGCGCGGGCCTGCGACGTCCTGGCGCACAGCCGCTTCTCCGACCGGAAGCGAAGATGCCATGGTCGACTAGGCGTAAAAGTGACCTTTCGCAGGAGTGACCTTTGGTGCGGGCACAGATGAGTCCCCAGATGGTTGAAAACAAAACAGTAGCAGCTGGTTGCGCGCCCAGGTTTGGCCCCCCGCGGCCCCCAAGAAGCCGCGCACCAGAGGTCACTCTTACCCAGGGTCACTCTTGCGTGTAGCCGATATGGGAAGTGCTGCCGCGTTGCAGGGCGTCTCATTCTTCGAGGAAGAGAAAGACGCCATAACACAGAAACTGTTGGCTCTCCGCGCGGGTTTCTTGGATCCGCGCTGGGCCCCTCTGCGGCGCCTCCGGCGCTGCCCCTGCCTGGCGCGCTCCGCGCGCCAGGCAGGAGGGTCCAGCGCAGAGCCAGAAGTCCGCGCGGAGCGCCAACAGTCTATATGTGCATGGCGTGCTTTCTGTTTCTACTTCTGCTCACAGCTCATACAGTCGGGGCGCTGAAGAAGGAACCCTTTTCGTTGGGGAGGGGATCCGTGTTCCTTGATTGTTTCACAGTTTGCCTTAGGTTTTCCTTAGGTTCAACCGATGGGGAAAAGGGGGCCTCGTTCATTATTGAGGGGTTCCTTAGGTGAACGTCCCGACTGTACGCCCCCCCTCTCTTCGGCGCCCTTGGCCTCCTGTCCCTCGGGCGACGAAATCTATACATATCCACTGCTCCCTGACCATGCCCATCTTGAACCCAGGAGCTGTGTATGCGCCCTCCTGGCCAAGCCAGGAGGGCGTCGCGTATACACCGCTGCGGGGTTGAGGATGGGCCTGGCCTGGGAGCAGTGGATATGTATAGATTTCGTCGCCCTATGTCCCGCTCCCCCCCTCGTCCCGTCTCTCGGCCGCCGATCTGGACAGGAGCCGGGGCCCAGACGCGCGACAGGTTGGAGCCGCGCCGTGGGGACAGCGCCAGCAGGCCCCCGAAGTGGCCGAAGCCCCCAAGGGGCCCCAGAGGGGCCCCCCAAAACTGCCAAAGGGGCCTCCAAGAGGCCAAGATCAAGGGTGGAAAAACCACCCCGACCCCGACAGTTCGCGTTTACGAAACAGCCCTGGGCGTTTACTAAACAGCCCTGCCCTGTTCGATTCCTTCCATGGGTGCGTTTACTAAACGGCTTCGCTTGTCGGGGTGCTTATTATGGGGGTGGATTTTCTGCTCTCTACAAGAGGCCCCCCTGGGGCGCGGCGGTTCCCCGACAATTCTCTGGTCCGGAGAGCTAACTGTCGGGAACTGTTGGAGAATTGTCCGACGCCCGCTGTCAGACAAAGCTCCACGCGGGCCCTGAAGATGGCCCGAGCGCGCGACTGGGACCGGCAAGAGGTCCCTGGGACCGCTCTTGCCGGCCCCGAAGAAGCCCCCCCCCCCAGCCGGCCATCAGAGGCTTCCAAGAATCCTTCAGCCACGCGCAGAGAGGGGAGGGGGGAGGGGGGAGGGCTTCTTAGAAGCACCACTGCTTCTTAGAAGGCGCGGGCTTTATCTATAGGTGTGAGGCCGGCGCCTTCTAAGAAGCAGCCTCCTTCTTAGAAGCCATCCCCCCTCCCTCCACCCCCTTGTGCGCGCCGCCAAATCCTCCCAGAGGCCCCCCCAAATAACCCCAAGAGGTTCACGGCCCCCAAGCGGCCCCTTGAGAGACGTAGGAGGGAAACGCATCGCTTGCGCCGACAGCTCTTCGACCATTCCCCAGCAGTTTTTCGGATAACTGCTGGAGAACCGCCCGAGAGCTGAGGCGAAGTGCCCGCCACCCCGGCCGCCTGCGAGAACCCCGGCGGACGGTGCCACAGGCAAGAGCCCCGAGAGGGCCCTAAGAGGGCCCGAAGAGAGCCTCAATAGTGTTAGGTCGGGCCTGTCCCTTTACAGGGGACGTATTCAAAAATAGTAACAAAGTAGTCTGGGGACCATTTTTTTAGTATTTCTGGGCATCTGTTGAGTACTTTTTGGGTATTTTTTATTCTTCGTCGAAAATCCCCCTGCAGGGGGACAGGCCCGACCTGACAGTGGTGCCCAACAGCCTCTCACTGAGAGTGCCGTTCGCAATGAGGAGTTGGCTGCCCGTGGAGCCCCCAACGGAGGCCTCCCGAAGCCGTGCTCGAGGGCCCTCGCCCAAGCAGGGCCCCAAACGGCCCCCGGCGGGCCCCCCCGAAGCGAGTCTGCGGGATGGGAAAATGACCACAGCCACTGCTTCTTGTTTGCGCCGCCTTCCAGCCGGCCGAAAAAGAAGCAGTGGTTGTGGTCATTTCCCTGGTGCCAAGCTTAACGAAAATGACCACAACCACTGCTTTGTTTCTGCTGGCTGGAAGGCGGCAACAAAAGAAAAGCAGTGGCTGTGGTCGTTTTCACGTCTCGTAGAGTCCAATCCGGGGGTGGACCCACAGCGGTGTTTTGGCGGTTCCGTGGGCCGCTTTCGTTTCGAATTCGTGTCGCGTTCCAGGCGGCCTGAGGACAAAACGAGGGAAACCGAGACCACGACGAAAACGGAAAACACCGTTTAGGTTCAGCCCTGTTCCAAACACACCCTCCCAGGGGCTGCTGAAGCGAACCCTCCGAGATGCTACAACAAATTCCCAGGCGCTACCACCTTCCCAGGAGCTCAAGCCAACCTTTCCCAGGGGTTAACAATCAAACCCTCTTGGGCGCAAGCGCGAGCCAGCGAAAACACGGTCTTGGACGCGCTCTGCATAACTGGGGCGCGCCAGAAGTTTGCCCTGGCAGTTTGTTTGGGAGCTGGGTCTGGCCAGGAACTTGTTCTGGAAGTTTTTGTTTCTCTGCTGGCTGCAACACCCCAGAAATCTACCCTGGAAGTGCTTGGAGGGCGGGGCCTAGCCACGCACCTGTCCTGGAAGCTTTTTTATCAAGAAACAAAGCTGAGACCAGCCAGAAACCTTTCCTCCGACAGTACGTGTGCGAATGGGGCCGGGGAGTACTGGTAGGGGGCCCGGCGAATAGCGAACAGGGGGTGGTCTGCGGGCCATTCTCGGCCGAGAAAGGCCCGCGGACCCCCCCCCACAACAATCGCAGGTGTCGCGATCCGCGATAAGGGGGTGTGTTCGGAAGGGGGGGGCGCAGTTCGACGCGCATTTTGGCCGAGAGTAGCCCGAGGCCGCGGGCAATGTCTCGGCCGAGGAGAGCCCGCGGATCCCCCCATGCAGCTCTTCGCCCGACATCCCCAACAGCCACGTTCGGGACAATTTCAGACCCACCACTGGGTGGGAGAGAGGGGAGATGAGGAGGAGGAAGATGATGATGATGATGATGATGATGATGATGATGATGATGATGATGATGATGATGATGATGATGATGATGATGATGATGATGATGATGATGATGATGATGATGCTGATGCTGATGATGACGATGCTGATGACGATGATGATGCTGATGTTGATGATAATGATGATGATGATGATGACTATGATGATGATGACGAGTGATGATGATGATGATGATGATGATGATGATGATGGTGATGGTGATGGTGATGGTGATGGTGATGGTGATGGTGGTGATGATGATGATGATGATGATGGTGGTGGTGGTGATGGTGATGATGAGGAGGATGATGATGAGGATGATGTTGATGATAACGATGATGATGACGAGTGATGATGATGATGATGATGATGATGATGATGATGATGATGATGATGATGATGATGATGCTGATGATTGTGATGATGCTGATGCTGATGCTGATGCTGATGATGATGCTGCTGATGCTGATGATGCCGATGCTGATGAGGATGATGATGGTGGTGGTGACATGATGATAGTCTTAGAAGTCACCCTTACACACGTGCCACCCACCTACACAAAGATACCGCCCGTACCCCCCCCGCCCAGCGTCTTTGGCCCTTGGGCCCAGCGGCGCCTGCGAGGCGGGGCGACGTCCGCCGGCGGCAGCGTGCACGAGAGGCCAGATCTGTAGCACCTGGGCGCTCGGCGGCAGCGCTGCAGCACACGCCCTGCGGCGCGCGCGCCCCCGCGAGCTCCGCGTACGGTGGGTGCGCGTCGTGTCGTCTGGCGGCGACACCGCCAGCGGCGTTCAGCGTTGACCGCCGCGGGCGACCCAGAATCGTTCGATGTGGAACGATTTGGACGTTTCGGAAACGGCCGATCGTTCAAGGTTGAAAGATGCCCGCGGTGTCAGGAACAAACGCCGAAGTCGGCACGACACGAACCTGACGTACGCGCCTGGTCCGAACACGGCGAGGTCGAACGACCAGTGTTTTAGCG